CTTTCATTTACTGAAATTATTTTAATCATATCACTTTTTTACAATCATAACACTTTAATCATACCATTCATTTTAATCATATCAGTTACTTTAATCATAACACTTAACTTTAGTCATATCACTTACTTTGGTCATATCACTTATTTCAGTTATGTCATTTACTTTAGTCATATCATTCACTTCAGTTATATCACTTGTTTTAGTTATATCATAGTCATATCATTTACTTTAATCATATCACTTACCTTAGTTATATCATTTTCTCACAAAAATGTACATTTATTACAATCATGTAAATAACGATTTTTTGAAAAGATAAAATTCAAATATTTCACTACTAACTTATATCATATTTGTAAGGAAAATAAACAAAATTAACGATAAATATTTCATGACTATTATCATGATTAATGATTATTATCATGATTAATGATTATTATCATGATTAATGATAGAGAATAATGTTAAATGATTAATTATCAATCCAAAATGATCGATAATAACAATGAAATGTTAAACAAAATGCAAAAATTAATTATAATTGTACAATTTGAATGTATTACAGTAAATTGGATTTTATTTTATAACTTTATGATTATAAATTTTTCAAAAACATAGGAAAATTTTTCAAGGAAAAATTAAAAAGAAAAAATTGAAACAGAAATGAAGGAAGGATTAAACGAAAGTATCTTAAGATAGAATGATTGTCATATCTTATTTGATAACCAAAAAAAAAACTTTTTTCTTTCAGTAATTAAAGTTTTTCTCTTGTTTTAGAATGAAAATGATAGCGACAATGTTGATTGCGGCAAAAAAAGGAAACTGAATTAACTTCAATGAAAACTAAAATGACGTCAAGAAGGAGCACAAAATTAATTAACTGTGACTTGTCCACATTGTCAATTAAAATTTTGCAATAGATAAGATGAGAGAAATTTAACAGTGTAAAATTTTATCTGATAAATTATTACAAAATTTAAATTTGTTAAAATTGTTGAAATTACAGATTTAAAATATGAACGTATCGAAAGTCGTTCAACGCCATCTGTTCTACCATCTTTTGAACCAAATAAATCAAGTTAGTTTAGAATTTATTGCAAATTGTACTAGGTAATTAATACTTTTAAAAAATTTAATTATCAAAATTTAAGCATTTATCGATTTAAAAAATTGATATATACGGTAATTATCTTAGGAATAATTAATATGATGTGTGACATAGTAAAAAATACGGTAGGCGATAATACCGGTAAAATAAATACGGTAAAATAGGATGAAAGAAAGCGATAATACGGTAATATGAAGTATATAATAAAAAATTTGATCGATGTTAAAATAACTTTAACTAATTTATAGCTCTGTTATTTTTAGTAACTAATTAATTAAAAAATTCCTGGAAACAAAGTATTCCGTATCTTTTCCATAAGTTCAATTCAAAAAGATGAAACGGAAAAATTGCAGGTATTCTTCGGAAATATTCCGGACATTCATCATTATCATGTAGGGATGAGAGATATTGTCGTAGACAGGTGCGCAATGAAAGTTCAATGGTACCATAAAAATTCTAGTATTAATTTTAAAAAAAAAAACTTTTAATGACCAAATTAATAAAAAAATCCGTTTAAATGCTTTTTTCTAAAATTTTAATTTTAATTTTTTCTGTAATTTCAAATTTTTAAAATTATGAAAGCATAAAAGGACACCTTTTAAAACAAAACCAACAATTAAATAATATAAATAGCATAAATGAACTAAATGAATTATAATTTCGGTAATTTAGTAAATTTCAAAATCTTTTTTTTTTACGAAATAATAATAAAATTATCGTTATAGTGATTTTTTAAAAAATGAAATTATAAACAAACTTTCGTATATTCATAAACATAAACAATGTGACAAATTTTTATAGCCATTGTTACATTAAGCACTAATTTACCAAATTAGCATATGAAAAGAAGCAAAAATAGAAAACTAATTTTGACAAAGAAAAAAAAACACGAAAAATTTCCTCATTATCTTTTCTTATCAATTGAATAACTTGCCGGCAAAATTGTTTGGTTATCATGGTGAAATGGAAATTCCGTTGAGAGGTGACAAATGGATCCTTGAATGGATTAATGGACAGCCATTTGAGAAATGTAATCATGAAACCGGAAATGTTTCTGCCCATAGCAGGTGTTTTATATACCTTTTTATTTTATTTTTTGTTGTCCCATAAAAAAAAAAGCTTAAATCAGTGAAATCTTTTGATTACCATAAAAAAAAGAAATAAATTTTACCAAAATTAGAAATATAACAAAATTTAAAATAATTTTAAAAAATTTTTAAAATTGTTCATTTATTTTTTTTATTTTTTTTTATTTTCTGTAAAATATATACATAATATTACATTTTTCTTTTTGTAGCAGTACAAATGAACAAAGTATGAAAGTTTCCGAAATTACAACATGTGATGATGATAATGAAGCATTATCATATGATGATAGGTAATTAAATTTCCTACTAATTATTAATTAATTGAATTTGTTGGTAATTATTCATATTTCTTCCTAATATTAAAAAGAATGTGAAGTTCGAAAGTTTCCCTTTTCCTTTTTTTTTTGAAGCAAATATAATAGCATTTGTTATTTTTCTAATTAATTATATATTTATTTATTTATTTGTTTATTTATTTATTTATTCATTTATTTATTTATTTATTTATTCATTCATTCATTCATCCATTCAATTTCTTTTTATTCAAAAACAGTTAGAATTATTTATAATTACAATTATTAACAGTGACAATTTTACATTTCTTTTATAATTTAATTATTATTTGCATTTCATTATTATTTATATTTTTTCATTTAATTATTGTTTGTATTTATATTTCAATCATTATTTGTAGTTCTATTTAATTATTATTTATATTTTATATTTCAAATAAGCAATTTTCAACATTCAAAAACAATAATTTTGCATTCCTTACGCAGAAATATGTGCTTATTCAATATTTACTTAATTTTATTCACTTATCTATTGATATACCCATATCAGTAAGATAATTTTAGCTATCAGCAAAGTGAGTTAAATTGGTTGAGAGCAATCATAAATCGGCAAAAGGCAAAAATTCAAGAACTTAACGAAGGAAAGAAAATGCTTTCTATTGAAATTGCACAACTCAAAGATAGCATGTTAGTTGTTGACAATGTGACAGTCACCGAGAAAGTTTCATTATCTTAAATTAAATTCATTTTCACTTTTTTTTCTTCTTACAATTTATTATTTTTAATATTTATTTGAACCATAAAATATGATATGAATGGTTAATTTTTTTTTTCATTTCAAACAAACTAAAAAAAAAGGCAGAAATAAAGAATGATTCAATTTAAATGTAAAAAAATGGGAAAAAACTTTTTTTTTTGGAATACAATAATCATTTCATAAAATTTAAAAAAAAAGAAAATAAACGAAAAATTTAATTGCAAACTCTTTTTTTTCATTTCTTTCAATCTTTTTCCTTTTCTTCTCATTTCATTTTTTGATTTTTTTTTTTTTTAAGAAATAACAAAAATTTGAAATAAACAATTTTTTCTTTCAAATTTCTTTCATTCTTCACTTTTCTTTATTTTATTTTGTTGGAGAAGTAAAAAAAATTTTTTTTTTATGTAAAAATAATGAATAAATTTTTCGAAATGATACAACGACAAATTTAACAACCGAACAAACATTTTCATTGGTAAAACGGAACAAATTTTTGAACAGTGAAGTGATCCGATTGTTGAAACGATGTGCTGCACAACAGAAGCAAACATTTCAATTCAAGCAGTATGTTTCAAAATTTATACTTTTCTTTTTTTTAATTTTCAAATTGCTGATAATTTTATTTTAAATAATTTTTAAATAATTAAACTGTTAATGTTATGTGGAAATAAGTGATAATTTCATTTTGGAAAATGTTCCAAAATGCATAGTTTTCTTTTTCGAATTTTAAAATTATTGATAATTTTTATTTTAAAGTAATTAAACTGTTAGTGTTATTCGGAAATAACTGATAATTTCATTTGATAAGTATATTTTGAAACTATTTCGTGTTTTATTTTGAAAATTAAGGGTAATTTTTATTTTTAAGTTGATAATATTATTTGATAATAACTTGATAATTTCATTTGAAAATAACTGATAAGTTAATTTTAAAATAATTTTATGTTTTATTTTGAAATCATTGATAATTTTTTTTTCAAAGTAATTGGATCAGTTCGTTTTGAAATGATTGATAATTTTATTATGAAATTATTAATTATGATATAAATTATTAATTAAATGAATGTATTACATGCTTTTTTTTTTCTCGAATGAATTTCTACCGTATTCCATACCTTATTTGTATTATAATCAAAGACTGTAATTAATTGCAATATTTTCAAATTTAACTTTTTAATAATTTTGTGATTTTACACAAATTAATAAATTCATGAAGTTTAAAATTGAATTAAACTGAATTTAGCGCCAAAATTATTTATTTGAAATGGTTTCAAGTATGCACATTCCATTTGGTCTATTTTAGTAAAGCATAACTTAAAACAAATGCATAATTATTTCATTAAGATTTGTTGTTTGGAATATGTAAAAGTTGACATATTTAATAAATTTCATTAAAAATTTAATTTTAAATTCATTTTTCATTTCAGATTAAACGAAAAACTAATAGATGATTTGAGTAATTTTAAACGAGAATATGTATTTTTACTACAAAATTGTATTAAAATTCCATTTGATGAGCAACAATCTGTTGATGCATTTCCAGTTAAACTACTTGGTAGCCATATTGTAAGTTTTAATTATTCTTATTCAAAATTTATGCAAATTTTCAGTATAAAATTAAAATGGCAATAATAATAGTAATGGAAAATGCGCATTTGTCCATTTTTCTAGAAAAGTATTTACTCAATTATAATATATATTATTCAACTGATAACTTCAACTGACAACTTGTTTCAACTAATAACTTCAACTGATAACTTATTTCAACTAATAACATGTATATCATTCAACTGATAACTTGTTTTCTAACCAATTCTCTGTACTGATAATTTTGTTGCTTTTTTTTTTTATTAGCATAAAAAGCGTGTGATAAATTTATTAAATGAAGCACGAGCAATTGATCCAACATTACCAACTTTTGAAAGGTTTTTTTTTCCTTTTCATAATAAGAGTTTTTTTTTCTCAATCATCCTTACAATTTAATAAAAATTATTTTTTAAAAATTTGAAAAAAAATATAATTTACTATTAATGTTTGAAAAATTGATTCCATAAAAAGTTTTTTTAATTAAAAATTAAAAAATGTTAATTAAAAAATATTGATTAATTGTTAATTAATTTGTAAAAAATAACCATAAATTTAATTAATGATTAATTATTTTTGTTCATTTTGTTGTTTCTCCTTGTTTTTTGTCTTTTTTTTTTTAAAGTTTTAACATTATTTGGAAATTATTTGGACATCTATGGATTTCAACGATCATTTGATAATGAAGAATTAGCATTACATTATATTTGTACACAATTATATGCGCTCTATTTGGAATGTACAACTGCGCAAATACAACATCGAATTGTATGGAAACGATACTTACACAATTGCAATTATCAACTTTCTAACAAGGTTAATGATAAAATGATAACATTGGAAAATTATCAAAATACTGATAATAAGGATTATTTTTTGATAATAATTGAAATGAATGGAATAATTAATGGAGTAGTAAGAAGGATTATTTCGTTTTAATGTTGAGAAGTTGACAAAGTGATTATTTTGGCGATCATATTGGTTAGCTGGTAAAAGGAATTTTTGGCGGTTATATTAGTTAGGTGATAAAAGGAATATTTGGCTACCATATTGATAAGATGATTATTCGGTAATAATGGCAGGAATTATTTTGTAATAATGGCAAAAAGTTAGCAAAATGATATTCTATGATAATATGCGAAAGTGGTGAAATAAATTATTTGATAATTATGTGATGAAATGAATAAGGATAAGTCGTATCCATCCAACACATTTTGGAATCAACATTATACCAATAAACAGCATTTGGAATAGATCATCAGAAAGTTCACCGTGCACTCGAATCAACATCATCGGTGTCATCAAGTTCGGCAATCGAGTTGCAATTCTAGGAAGAAGTATTGATATTTGTAATTTTCGAAGATTTTAAATTTTATCATTCAAAGAATATTTCCACTACTGTTCTGTCATCGAAATTTTGAAATTAATTCAGAAAATTTGTCAAATATTCAAACTTCAATTGTTTAAATTATAACTGGTAAATAAATT